ACAGACACACACACACACACACACAAATAGTTCACGTTATCTGCCGTGTGACCTTTAAGGGCTGGTTTCTCTTTGATTTTTACCTTCTGTTAGAATATAAATATGTCATTTATCACAAGAAATTAAGTACACCGACACAGCCCAAAGAGCGCAGCACAAAGATAAAAATCCTTTGAGGCCCTTGCCCCTTAAAAGATATAGATACATGTACTTGTTCAGTTCTACTCTCAATAGATTTGTTAATGAGTAATGTGATCATCAAAGCACGTGATCTTGTCTTTTTAATGGGTTATCTGTCTGATTACCAACCCTGACACAAACTCAAATCCAAACATGTAAGTACACCACTGTGACCATGTTTTTACCGATACCTTCACGCATGTCTGAGCTGGAAAAAAAATGTGACAGGGACTGAGGCAAGAGTGAGTGAGAGGAACTGTCGTTCAAGTGAGGAGGGAGTGAAAGAGTATGTGTGTTACAGACTGAAAGAGCAAACGAAAGAGAGAGAGAGAGAGAGAGAGAGAGAGAGAGCAAGGGTAATTTAGTGGAGTGACTCTGTGTTGACCTTTAGTAACTCTCCCGAGCAATGTCAATTTCAATTTCACCCTTCTCCATGGCAAGGTGACAAGACTGGTGTCACAGCTAGGTGTCCAAGATCAAGAAAGTGTTGTGAAAAGAGAAGAGAAAAGAAGAGAAGAGGAGAGAAGAGGAGAGGAGAGAAGAGGAGAGAAGAGGAGAGGAGAGAAGAGAAGATGGAGGCTGTAAGGAGAGAAGCGAGGTAAGGGAGAGAACGGAGGGAGAGAGCAAGAACATAGATAGGCAGAGACAAAGAAAAAAAGTGAGGTTTTTCACCTGCGTATCCATAGTTGAAATATCATAAGTCAAACTCCTCACTGCTTCACTATTTTAGCTTTTATGTAACAACATCAGAGTGTCAGAGTCCCATAAGCATAATAAGCCAATCAGTGTAGGTTACCACAGTTTATTCATGAGACTTAGTTGTACCATCAGCTCTTGTCTTGTGACTGACTATAAACCATGCTGCATCTCTTCTGTGGTGCGGTTTATACTCCAGCAGAGACGAGTTATATAAAATCAGATGGAGCATCATGGCTCATGTAATATCTTCTTAAACCGTGCACTGTCAGGGTCTCTGTTTCACCAACTGTCAGGAAATCTGTGCGTCAAAGTTCATTAAAGTTGATCTCTAGACGAAGCCCCCGCATGGATTCACTTTGCTTGAATGAGTGGATTCACTAATTGCAATGATTAAATTAAAATGAAATAAAACCCTGTCCAGTGGAGGGATGTCTGAAGGAAAGAGTGGGATGCCCACCCTGCCTGTCTATTTTTCTAAGCTTGTCAAAAACATATTGAGAAAACACTGGGAAAATCAGTGCCGTCAGCATCTTCCAGTGTCAGTCTATCACAGATGGCCACCACTGACCGTGTGCAGTGGGAGAACTTGTGCGTGTATGTGTGCAATGGCTGGGTTTGTGCCTCTATGCTGAAATGAAGTAGTTTGAAGAGTCATTTCCCTCTTGCCGCCCTTACCATGCTGATGGGCCCTGCTCTCTGAAATAATGGATTCTAATTCCTTTCCACTAGAGTGCACCCATCTGCTGGCTTTGGGGGACAGTAAAATCCTCTATCAGTTACAATTATCCCACGGTTACTGAGGAGTGCTCCGCAAGCATGTGTGTGACCTACCCATCCCAAGTGTTGTGGGGTTGTGCGAATATCTGTGTGTGTGTGTGTGTGTGTGTGTGTGTGTGTGTGTGTGTATGAAAAACAGGGAGAGCTAGCGAGACAGAGTGGAGTGCTGCGTAAGCATGAGTTGAATCTCTCCACCCTCTGGGACTGCGAATCCATGACAAATCATCCCGAGGGAATCAACACCAAGTCAGTGAGTCTGTGTGTTTTAAATCTGGAGCTATGTGTAATATGTCACAAAAAGTAAGTGTGTGTATTTTCCCTACACATAGACACAAATTCAATCCCCGCAATATGAATCATCCTCCTGTTCTGGAAGAAGTGGAAGTGGACTGCACCAACTCTCCACTGGGGGACAGCAGTAAATCTGGCAAAAGCAAAAGCGGATGGCTACTGACAAAATCCAAGCCACTCTACACAACCTTGATTTTGTCTCCTTTGGAAACCACATAGAAAATGTCAAGTTGTCCAGAAGTAATATTTGCAGGCCTGCTCTCTGCATGCACACATCCCTGGAGACTCCTGAGGCCCTGAAGCTTTGTAGATCTGTGATAAGAGCTACACACACACACGCATGCACGCACGCACACATGCACGCACACACACACACTGCTAGTTGGTGGTGGAGTTGGGGGTTCAGTATGATCTGTAGCTGTGGGATTTTGGGCCTTCATCAGAAAGGGACACAGGCAGAAACATGCAAGGAGACCTAAGGAAAGCTGGAGAGGGGATACTCTGACAAGACAGCCCCTCTCCTAAGACAAACAAACTCCCTCTGATGCTGCTGTCTCTTTACCCCTGTCAATTTTTTCCCTTCTTTTCTCTGACACCCCTTTTTGCTTCTGTGACCGCTCTGATGCCATCATTTTTTTTTTTTTTTGCTTTCAAATTCACGGACGTCTGTGTTCTTCTCTCTGCATCATCCACATTGACGTTCCTTTACATCCCAACTGTGTGTTTTCAGTGAGTGATTTTATGTAACATATGTGTTTTATTTATGTCCGCGTGTGTGTCTGGTGCGTAAAGTTGGCTGTGATGGCAGCTGTCTGAGACCTCCACTGGTCGCCGCAGCAGAGGAGATAAAGTAGGTCTGTGTTTCCCGGCACTGCTGCAGATTTATCTCTCTGCTTACGGCTCTGATTTTACTGCCCATCCCCTGGCCTCCACTGGATCCCATCTCTTTCTCTCTCCCCCCCAACTGCTTCTCTCTGTACACGTTCTGGCTACTATAAATCTGCCACGTTGCTCCATAAAGCTGCTTAGGGCATGACTCAACAAATATTAAGGAAGAGGAGAATAAATAAATAAAGCTAAATAAAAGAGAAACTCTCATCTGGAGGGAGAGACAACTTTTCGGCACACAAAATGGAGCCCGGCTGTAAAATATTTACCTCAGTGTCTCTGTGCTTTAGACTTTCTGCTGGGAGTCTGTGGAGGCTCACTACATGACATCACACATACTTTTTCTTTCTCTACTTCTCTCCGTTGCCTCTAACTCTCTTTTTGCGATAGCAGTGCCAATCCCTTGTGCACTATAATATTAGAGGGGAGGCTCTACTGCTTTTACATATCTTGATTAGTTTACAAGTCACAGGGAGCACTAACTAGCCTGTGTGGCTCTGGAGCAAGATTTGTTGAGCCTAAAAAAAATAACCCCAGTGTGGTCACCTAGTTTATCCTGGCTTGGGCTCAGAGACAAACTGCACAACAGACTGGGGACATAGGAGTTTCAAAGACACATGCATTTATCAGGCAAAGGGATGTTATTGAACTGCTTTCACAATTCTCTCTCCGCTCCCTGTAGTCAGCTGACCATGGGTGTTATTGGTCAACCAATCATATTTCGCCATGATCTCAGCTGTTGTTGCTGTCAAACATTAAATCTGCTGTCTCTTCTGCTTTCAGCTTTCATTTCAGGCAGATTGCAGTGACCCTCCTCCTCCCCTTTTACCTCCAGTCTTCATGTCCAGCGCGAAGGCTGAGCTCATCCTTTTGATTCATGACATCACAACGGGGTCTAACCACCAAAGACTCTCAAATCTCACTTTTCCTGTTCTGCTCCTGGCAATAAAAGTTTTTGTTCACTCAAAAAGTCTCTCCTGATTGAAATGTGCATACATGGAAAATGTATGTCTTGGGAGATTGACGCACACCAGAGTCTAAAAGTCAGGATCCTCTGCCTCTGCTGCCCCGATTTACACCTTTCTTTATTTTAAAATTTTCTTTCACCAGTTTCTCAATTTTATGGAAACGCAACACTAAATCACTGCACAGTACTAAATGCACCAACCCTTTAATACACACAGACACACATGCACGCTTCACACTACATGAAAACACTCGCACTGCAAGCATGAGACCGAACTGACAGAGAGGCTTTAAATAATTGCGAGACAGTTTCAAAAGACGAGCCAACCCTTTCTTCAAAATCTCAGTGGAATCAAGATAGAGACAAACGAGACAAATAGCTGAAGGGCCTGCCCGTATTGTGCAACCTGTTCATGCATGGGTGTGAGTGCGCTGACATGCGAGGCTGCGCTTGTCAGTTTATCAACAGCAGCAATTTTTCACCCTTGATCAGCCAACCATGGAGGCATTTTAAATGAACTATACCTGGGTTCCAATAGCATCGGATAGAAGACAAAAGGTAAATGCTTTGTGAGTCATTGCGCCGTCTTTGTCTCTGTCCCCACCCCCTCTCTTTCTGTCACATACTCGTCCAATCCTTCCCTGCTTTCCAGGCCTCTCAGTCTTGTCCCATTGGCTTCACCATGACAGACACATTAGCCATTCACAGAGCGGCAAGCACCATGTGGACAGTGGACTGTGCCCAGAAATCAAGCAATATGCTGTCACAGACAGAAAAACCAAACAAAAAAACAAACACAACCACAACCACATGCATATAGTCACCCACGCACGTATGCACACATGATAGGCCTGACGTGACCCCACGTCAAAGAAGACAAACAACGGCAATAGAAAGCGGCTGCCTCTCCATGTGGCGCGCCAGCGTATGGAACTCTGGCACCATATGGGCTCTCCATTGTTGACAAAACAGCCTTAGGGACATTAACACCCACAATTTGCATATATGGAAAACACTTTTACAATTGTTTTTTTTTTTTTTTTTCTGTTCCTCCGGCAAATAAAAGTGCCCTCATCAATCTGCATTCATCGCCTGGAGGTGTGTTGGAGAGGATTTGAAAAGTCATCCATTTCCTGTCATTTGGAAATGACACAGATAGTACTGACTGCAGCTGCAGGAAATCCTGTGATGTTCTTACCTAGCTGCAGCTCCATATTGCTAATCTTGTTTTCTGAGGGAAACAGGATCTTTGGCGGCTTGTCGGTCAAAGGAGCTGAAAAGGAGAGAAGAGACAATTTAAATATGATACAAGACAAACCGACAATACAGGCAAACTGTCACTGAAGAATAATAGTGAGAATTTCAAATTGTGCTATTTTTGCTTCCCAGTACTTTCTTTATATCCCTGTGTGCTTTACATAGATTTAAGGAGAGAGCATAGACAGGCGTTACCTCTTACTTGCTCTCTAGTGTCTATAGATCTTGGGTTCTATTCATTTGACCTACTTCCAATCATAAATACGTCACAGTGTTACCAAGAACAAGCCTTCATTTAGGCTGCATGAGTGTTAGGTACTTGAACAGCCATCATGGAGAGTGTGAGTGTGTATGTGTGTGTGTGTGTGAGTGAGAGGGAGCAGCTGATGCTCTAATGATGCTAATCATCCATACGGTGGATGTCAGACCTGCTGCTGAAGTCCCTCCTCTGGGGAATGCAGCAGTTTTATTGTTGTTGAAAGCCTTTGTGTGTTCTGCAAGAGAGGCTGTGCTCTTCAGGGTTAAAAAAACAGAAACAGGGTCTTATATGTACATGACTGAAGACACACAAGGGGAGAGAAATCTTGAGGCTGTGTCAACATGGAAGATGAAATGTTTTGATCATGTGGAGCTTTATCTCTCCCTCAGAAAGACAAAAAAGGCTTTCAGACAGAGATGTTTTTTCTTTAATTTTGAATGTGTTTTTTTTTTTAAAGCAGCATCCGTCCTCACACTCACTTTGTCTCACAGCAGTGAGTTGTCCAGCAAAGCATGGCTTCATAGTTGGGGTATTGTGGGGGCGCAGGGGTGGAATAACCAAAATGTTCCCGCAACACTGACGTGAATGTGCCCTGGGGGTCCTGCAATCTTTGTGTTATTTTTCATTTGGTTGAGCTAATTAAACTTTCACTGCAGATGAGATCACTGGATCATAATTGGACCAAAATAATCATGTGACACGCAGTCGGAGGACAATAAAATAGGTGTAATTTCTAAGTATACAGCTTGCACCAACTTTAAACAGCATGATAATTTTGTGATTTATGTGGGTGTTATAGTGTAGTTCCGTACACACATTACGGTCTCTCACATTTTGGTACAGCATCATAAAGATAGTGTTTTTGATGGTATGGACTCAACTCAGCTCGACTCTACTCGCTTTCGGTACCAGGTACTTCTTTTTCACTGCAGATAGTACCCCCTAAATGCAATTGTTACTGTAGCGATGACGCACGAAGCTATCATGATGTCATCTTCAATTTGACACACACTTGAACAATGGAGGATATCAAAGGGATAGCAAAAAAAAATTTAACAAAAAAACAAAAGTGCCAGGTATCAGGTACTACACACAACTTTTGCCTGATGGACCGGAATAGATGAGTAGAGTCGAGTTGAGTCAAGCTGGTACCATGCAGTGGGAAAGGGCTAACAGCGTCCTCAACTACAGTTACGTGGGGATTTTTTTTATTTATTTATTCATTTAATAGGGACGATGCAATTTCACAGTTCCAATACAGAGCGTGAAACTGATGTAGAGTTTATTGCTTTGACGAATTTTCAACTCTTGACCCTAATTGTGCTTTACATATACAGCGTAATAGAACGAACTGTATCAAAGTATTGTCGGCATTATTAAATATGCATAAACAAAAGAGCTTGAGGCCATCTTATTTTATCTTTATGATATATTTACTCGCATACGTGTTTTCTTTCTTGCATGTTCGCACACCAAGCTTTGTTAGATGGCGGTGCTGCTCAAAAGTCTGGAGACCACTCTGCAAAGTTTTCTGGACCAGAGCATGTGTTACTTTTTAAATGATGTAAAGCTATGCTTTCTTCTGTTTGCGCATTGCTAGCGTGATGGAATATATCCGGATTCTTGGAGCTGTGTGCAGTGTGTACCCGCCCAGTGTCAGTTTCTGTGAGTGCATTCACTTTGAACTTCGGACCAACCATGGTCCTTACCATGACAATCATTTTAGACTGTAAGTCAGTGACGTGAACATTATTGCAACTGAAATGTTAACTAGCATGATTTCTGAAAGTTTGCAAAGAAAAGCAAAGTTGATGAAGGAAACAAAATTAAAAAGGGATATTAATTGATTTGGCCACAGTCCAGCAGAAAACCCATGAGGTCTTACAGCAGCTGTTTGACCAATGAACACTTGGATCAATGCCACTCACATTGAAGTCACACTTTTTGTACCAAGCTGCTAGGCACTTGTTACAGGTACACTGTGTCTTTATGTCAAGCCACCACATGTAGTTTTAGTTCAATTATAAGAATGTATAAAGTTTTTGTTTCATCAAGGACAATTTTTTGACTTCTGAACCTCTCACTTCATGTTCATTTGATATTTGCACATTTAACAAAAAACCCTACTTCATGACAAGTATCAGCACAACTGGAACCAACGAGACCAGTCAGACTAGCCTATACCTGTAGACTTATATTTAAATAGCTGCATATTTGCAGTACTATGTGTGCTCCCATTTATATAAAAGGAAAAAAAATCAGTCATGCACATGTTCTTTCTCTGCGGATTTTAACACTGTGTTTAATTCAAACCTACAACACAATTTTCTGTTGCTGTGCCATTACATCATGAAGAAAAATTGGGGCATGCTAAGCTCATTATAACCCACATTTCACTGCTAGTGAGCATGACATGTTTGATATCATCGCAGACCTTACAATTTCTTCATCTGTATGAAAATGAGTGCAGAACTTCACCATTGTAATTATAGCACAGTCAGAGATAAAGGCCGGAGATAAAGACAGTTTACTGGAATGAAAGAGGTTAGATATATAGGGAGCATGTAGGCCTGCAGGTATGTCTCTGTATATAGTGAATATATTTATTTATGGTAATAAATCTATGCATTACATTTTACAGTAGGTTAGATAACAAGGGTATGACCTTTGACCACATGCACAGCAGCATACTACACAGAGACAAAGACAAACAAGCACACACACTGAATTCAATCATATGCTCAGGGGGAGGCAAACATTAATTCTGCACTTCCAGAAAAAAAAAACCCTTTATTGACTAAAAACAAAGGCTAATCCCAACAGCAGACCTTTCAGGCACATCTAATTATTTAGTGGTGAATTTGCAAAGGTGGCTTATTCAGGCCAGTCTATAGCCCGGTGCTTTTATTAAGACATTTCCTTAAGACTGTTCTCACAAGCCCTCTTCAAGCCTTTACTTTATTATAAAACCTCTCTAACGAGCTGTTTGAAAGGCCTGCTCTGGTTTGGTGTCTGTATCTGGGAGGAAGAAGCCATGCAATGTTGCTGTGCTTATTCATTCAGCACAAAGTGTGTGGTCTTGTCTCAAGTAAAGTGCGTGGTCTTGTAAAGCGCTTGGTTTAAGGCTGAATGATAATATATATTTAACTGCTCAAGCCGTCAGAAAGAGGTGTTGTAGACCGAAGTATAAATGTTTGATATGTGGGGGTCTGAAAGGTGTTTTCTTTGCTCAGATGTAGCACCTGCTGGTATGTAAATACTGACAGAGAAGCACAGTGACATCTATGAGAGGGGCGGTCATGGGCTTTTAGGCACAACTGTTTGCACTGTTAATAGGTAATCACACAGCACAAATTACACTGGATACTGATACAATTTTAATTACATATCAAACTGCTATACATAATTACACAATGGGTGATCCTATAGCTAATTATGCACAAGGCAAACAAATGAGGACAAGCTGTGGATGGGAGTCGAGAGGGGAAGCAGATGTGGTAAGGAGAACACAGATAGGATGCAGGCATCAGTAGACTGAAAAGCAGAGCTGGCAAAATGAAGAGAATAAAACAGGAGAGAGGATGGAAAGGAAAATTTATAAAGCTTAAGTGAACCAGTCAAGAAACATGCTTCCCCTCATTTCTGCATGCAATGCTTGCTTCTGAAAATCTCATTATCTTAATTACCAGTCCTTTATGGGAAATACATCAATTATCATGGTTCGGTTTGGCGGGGTGGGGTTGGGGGGGGCGGCATTTAAAATGTAGAGGATAGGAAGCAACTCCTAACAAAAGGAGAGAGTCTCTGCTTGCCATTACCAGTGGAATTAAGCAACCATAGACAAAAGCAGGTAATTAAACATGGAAATATTTGTAGTGCGCTGTTAACTTGGAAATGAATGTTTTATGTCTATTTATGTTATACATCTTATTTCTAAAAGAACTGATTATATGCTATATATTCAAGGTTAGAATTAGGTTTTTATTTCCACACGTGTGGCTGTCTGCTATTTGTTAAACAAAAAAAAAGACACTATTGTACTGTATTCATGTGGTGGTTGTAAATTCTAAATGCTCTGTACCACTTCCAGGTTGGGCACTGATGGATAATCATTTCCTGCATGGCAAATGGCAAAGTGACTGCACTCATACATCATTTTCTAACATTACGGACAAAGTGCTTTACAATCCGCCTCTCATTCATCCATTCACACTCATGCAAGGCGCTATCTTAACGATCGGGAGCAACTTGGTGTTGCTGTAGGATACTTTTACATGTGGAGAGGAGGAGCTTGGCATCAAACCACCAACCCTGCAATGAATGGACGACCCCCTCTGTCTCTGAGGACATAGGCCCCACCCACTAAATCATGAGCACAAATAAAATTTTGCAGAAACTGCAACTTTGCTAGGAGTCCCAAATGAAGTTCGCTCAAATGTTTGAGCTCTGGCAAGTGTCTCTTCATTGGCACTGTGCAGGTACAACATGGTTATCTTCGGGGACCAGAATGGCAGGACTGGTATGCTTGTGCAAGCATACTAAACATACTAAACACTGATGTCTGAGTATCCCCCAAAGCAGAAGAATTGTGTGTTCTCTGCATCAGAAGAAGGCTGAATTCATTTCAAGAGGTGACATTAAGTATCTCTGTAAACTCTGCATTCATTAAACCTTGGGATGGATGCTACATGTATAAAGTCACAGAACTTGTAACACATAGAGTGGAAAATGACTGAGCTTCTGCTTCTGCCTAATTG